ATGGTCTTCCAACGAACTGTGTATGCGGAGCTAACTTGTCGACTGACCATGCCATGGTGTGCCCTTGTGGTGGCTATCCCACCGCAAGGCATAATGAGATACGTGATCTCATCGCTGAGCTACTCAGAAGTGTAAGTCCCGATGTGGCAATCGAGCCCAACCTTCTCCCATTTGGTGGTGAGACATTGGCATGGTCAACAGCTAACCGATCCCAGGAAGCGCGGCTTGACGTCAGGGCTCGTGGCTTTTGGACGCGGCAGCAGGAGGCCTTCTTCGATATCCGGGTACCGCATCCCAGGGCCACCTTGCTGTCTCGTGAAAAAGCCATGAGCCAATTGGAGCGCAATGAGCGGGAAAAAAAGCGGCATTACGCAGAGCGAGTGAATCAGATCGATCGGGGCACATTCACCCCTCTGGTATTTGCGACCAACGGCATGATAGGCAAGGAGTGTTCCGTGTTTTTGAAGGCATTGGTTGGCCGTATTCTAGAGAAAAATGCTGATTTGGTGTATTCTGTTGTTGTCAATCATTTGCGATGCCGTTTGTCATTCTGCCTACTTCGCTGGTGTATCACCTGTTTACGTGGCTCTAGGTCCTCCTATCGCTCTAAGCGCTCTGCGAGCTTTGTGAATGACTGCCGTGTGCTCTCTAGGGCATAGTTTTTCTTTGTCATCATCTCGTATAATGTCAAAATGTGATCTTAAGTTTGTTTTCCGGTGTCCTGAAGTTTTTTTCTTTTGTATGAATCTCAATTCTATGGTTTCATTTCTGGCGGTGTTCAACCAGTTCTGGTTTGGATGTTTTTCTTTCCTTTTCTTTCCCCTTTTTCATGTATAAACATTGCTGTTGCCATTAATATTTGTTACAATTTTGCTGTTCACAATTCATTGCCCTCCTTGCATTCACATCTTCATTGCTTTGTGCTTTCAATAAAAACACATTTCAGTAGTAGTAGTAGTAGTAGTAGTAGTAGTAGTAGTAGTAGTAGTAGTAGTAGTAGTAGTAGTAGTAGTAGTAGTAGTAGTAGTAGTAGTAGTAGTAGTAGTAGTAGTAGTAGTAGTAGTAGTAGTAGTAGTAGTAGTAGTAGTAGTAGTAGTAGTAGTAGTAGTAGTAGTAGTAGTAGTAGTAGTAGTAGTAGTAGTAGTAGTAGTAGTAGTAGTAGTAGTAGTAGTAGTAGTAGTAGTAGTAGTAGTAGTAGTAGTAGTAGTAGTAGTAGTAGTAGTAGTAGTAGTAGTAGTAGTAGTAGTAGTAGTAGTAGTAGTAGTAGTAGTAGTAGTAGTAGTAGTAGTAGTAGTAGTAGTAGTAGTAGTAGTAGTAGTAGTAGTAGTAGTAGTAGTAGTAGTAGTAGTAGTAGTAGTAGTAGTAGTAGTAGTAGTAGTAGTAGTAGTAGTAGTAGTAGTAGTAGTAGTAGTAGTAGTAGTAGTAGTAGTAGTAGTAGTAGTAGTAGTAGTAGTAGTAGTAGTAGTAGTAGTAGTAGTAGAAGTAGTAGTAGTAGTAGTAGTAGTAGTAGTAGTAGTAGTAGAAGTAGTAGTAGTAGTAGTAGTAGTAGTAGTTATTTAAAGGAGTTTTCTTTTTTTAATTGAATTGATCTTCAATGATTAACGATTTCACGTTTCCGCTATTTTGCCCGTAAAAGAGGCTTGTCACCAGTAGTAGTAGTAGTAGTAGTAGTAGTAGTAGTAGTAGTAGTAGTAGTAGTAGTAGTAGTAGTAGTAGTAGTAGTAGTAGTAGTAGTAGTAGTAGTAGTAGTAGTAGTAGTAGTAGTAGTAGTAGTAGTAGTAGTAGTAGTAGTAGTAGTAGTAGTAGTAGTAGTAGTAGTAGTAGTAGTAGTAGTAGTAGTAGTAGTAGTAGTAGTAGTAGTAGTAGTAGTAGTAGTAGTAGTAGTAGTAGTAGTAGTAGTAGTAGTAGTAGTAGTAGTAGTAGTAGTAGTAGTAGTAGTAGTAGTAGTAGTAGTAGTAGTAGTAGTAGTAGTAGTAGTAGTAGTAGTAGTAGTAGTAGTAGTAGTAGTAGTAGTAGTAGTAGTAGTAGTAGTAGTAGTAGTAGTAGTAGTAGTAGTAGTAGTAGTAGTAGTAGTAGTAGTAGTAGTAGTAGTAGTAGTAGTAGTAGTAGTAGTAGTAGTAGTAGTAGTAGTAGTAGTAGTAGTAGTAGTAGTAGTAGTAGTAGTAGTAGTAGTAGTAGTAGTAGTAGTAGTAGTAGTAGTAGTAGTAGTAGTAGTAGTAGTAGTAGTAGTAGTAGTAGTAGTAGTAGTAGTAGTAGTAGTAGTAGTAGTAGTAGTAGTAGTAGTAGTAATTTATATTGACATTGGCTTAGACTTGCATACATGACGGGACCTGTTACTTTAATTTTCACTTTGAGTTTAAAGTTTTCTTCTTTTGACATTGGATTTGACATTGGATTTGACATTGGATTTACTAATTGATTTGACGTTATTTAAAGGAGTTTTCTTTTTTTTAATTGAATTGATCTTCAATGATTTACGATTTCACGTTTCCGCTATTTTGCCCGTAAAAGAGGCTTGTCACTAGTAGTAGTAGTAGTAGTAGTAGTAGTAGTAGTAGTAGTAGTAGTAGTAGTAGTAGTAGTAGTAGTAGTAGTAGTAGTAGTAGTAGTAGTAGTAGTAGTAGTAGTAGTAGTAGTAGTAGTAGTAGTAGTAGTAGTAGTAGTAGTAGTAGTAGTAGTAGTAGTAGTAGTAGTAGTAGTAGTAGTAGTAGTAGTAGTAGTAGTAGTAGTAGTAGTAGTAGTAGTAGTAGTAGTAGTAGTAGTAGTAGTAGTAGTAGTAGTAGTAGTAGTAGTAGTAGTAGTAGTAGTAGTAGTAGTACACTGGAGTGCGGATGGAGATTTTGCTCCTCCGCAGTTTTTCTAATTGCTTTCTAATTGCTTTATCCACTATCCCAGTCAACCGATTATTAACCTACATTAACCTACTTCATTACTTTCTTCTAGGCTTCGGGAGTCGGCTCCAGTAGTTTTCACCGCTGTGGAGTTGCCCAGTCCACTATTCCTCCCTCCAGCTGGTTTCTTGCTACCTGGCGAACCGGCCATTGTGTTGTAGTTTCGGCTCGCTTTCTGTGCCTTCGCCTTGGCTTGGGCCTTGGATGACCTGGCTTCCTGTGCTGTGCTTCGCGGCTGGGCGCTTTCCCGCGTGGTCTGTGACGACTGACGTGCGGGGTGCTCTTCACACCTCACGTCTCTTCGCGCGTTCTTCTGGCCGTGCTTGTGTACGCACTGTAGCTGAAGTCTGTAGCTATCTATGAGCCCAGCCCAGCCGGGCGTCCTTCAGGGTCGCACGTCTGGTCGCACGTCTGGCCCACGTGTTTGCTGCTTGTCTGCACCCGCCATCCCCCTGTTATGTCGTCTCAGTCGCGCAGGGGAGGTAACAGCAAGCGCTTGTGCTGTTCCTGCAGTAGGGCGTCGGGCACGTGCCGCTCTTGCTCCTGCAACGCAGCGGGAAGATGTTGTGTAGACTGTTACCCCGGCAGGGACCAGAGATGCACAAACTTAGGAAATACCAATCTTAGCGTTGCGGTTGTCACTGGCGGTGCTGCTGGGGAGCGTTCACTGCCTGACGCACCACCCGAATCAGTACCGGGGTGGGTGCCTCGCAGAGGGCGGAATACTTCGATTTCCAGACCCCAGTCGTCGGCCACGGACCGTTCCCGTGCGGCGTTGCACCCTGGAGCCGCGAGTTCTATGCAATCCTCTCAATCTGTTGCTGCTGCTTCATCCATGCAGCCCCTGCGTGTGGATCTGCCTGCTCTCGCGTGCTCGGAGGCGGCTTCGATTGATGCTACTGACCCACTGTCCGCAGGTGCTTTTGCTGATTGTGCTGGGGAGTCACGGGGGTTGCGTGTTGACCTCCCTCCGGTCCGTAGTTCTGAAAATGATAGTACCACGGTTCAGCTACCAACCAATATTGCCTCGGCTGCGGCCGATCCCTCCTATGCTGACCCTTCCTCGGCGTCTGTCGCCTCGGTTGCCGCCGGGCCTGTTGCTCGTGGTCGGATTTCGGTGGGTCAACTGGATAATCAATCAAGCCATGTTCCCCAGGTGGGGCGGTCGGAGTCGGGACCTGGCAGCAATCGTTCTGTTGGTGGGAGTAGTTGCGGGCCCTGGTCTGTCGGGGACGAGCGGGAGTACGACATTGTCAGGACATTGTTTGACGAAGTTGTTCACTGGAAACGAAACATATTTATGCTTCCACTTGGATCTGCAGGGCGCGAGTTTGTCATGGAGATAGCCAATATTATATCATTCTTCAACTTGGATACACCCTTGAGTGGCATAGCCTGGACAGTACTCACTATTGCCTGCCATTTGCTCCTCCAAAAGCCTCTCGGATCGTCTCGAGGTGGGGAGAACGCTACCATCCTGCGATCCAGGCTCGAGTTGTGGAAAGCAGGGAAATTGGAGGACCTACTCCTTGACGCCAGGTGTATCCAGGCTCATCTCCGGCCACGACGGGTTACCTTGGCGAGATCTTTCACTCTGGAATGGCAAAGGCATGGCGAAAATGAGTTTTCGCTGTTCCCTGGTTCTTGGAAAACCTTTCCTAAAAGCAGCACCGAAGACTGTAAGGGTTCTCCAGCTCCAGCACGTCTGGGAAAGGCCGATGAATTTCTTCCTCAGGATTTTTTTCTTCATAAACCCCCTCCTTTTTGTGGATGAGTGTGCTCTGTATCATCCCATGTTACTTCACAAAAAAATTAGAGGGTGTTTCCGCGGAGATAAGGCTGTTTGAGGTGTATTTCTGGGGGTGGGTGTATTTATCGATTTCGGCCTAAATTTGCTTGCTTTGGGGTCATATTTCAGATTAACCAGTTGTCTGGCTTCTCTTTGTGATTGCAAGTCCTTTCACACATCACAATGACCTTCCTTGCCCCGGGCATGGGTGTGTTGTTCCATACTGAAGAATATCACGATGCGAAGGACCTTGGGTACTACGGGTACTTTCCTGCAAACCATGGGGTATACCTGAGCAGAGTTCTACTTTGTTTTCACAGAAGCTTAAGCAATAATCAGCTTGTTGACCTTCCTGGAGGACTGTTTCAAGCCACAACCAAATTAACAGACCTGTAAGTTATCACATTATAATTATTAGATGGATCGCAAAGAGACTTTCTTGCATGGATCACGTTATTTTGAGATACTTTAAAGTGAGAGAGTTTCACTAGAGATTAAAGTTTAAGAAAGGACCATTAAGGAGGCTCCAATCCTTTGGGGGTGATTTTTTCTTTATAAATAGTACCCTCCTTTTTGTTGGTGAGTGTGCTCTGTATCATCCCATGTTACTTCACAAAAAAATCAGGGGGTGTTTCCGCGGAGATAAGGCTGTTTGATGTTTATTTCTGGGGGTGGGTGCATTTATTGATTTCGGCCTAAATTTGCTTAGTTTGGGGTCATATTTCAGATTTACCAGTTGTCTGGCTTCTCTTTGTGATTGCAAGTCCTTTCACACATCACAATGAAGCATTTGAGAAAGAAAATCTGGCAAGCAGCATTGACTACTCAGAAAAATAGTAATTTTGGTACAAAAATGAACTCAGCAGAAAGGGCCGTCCGCAAAGTACAATTGGGTGCACACCTTCATAATTTCTTCATAGACATGCCCTTCTTATTTTATTTTTTAGATCCTCATACTTCATTGAACCTAGAAATATAAAATTTTAGGGGGGTTACCGTGCATTCAAGACCTCCAAAAATAAAAATAGGACAGCAAAATGGCCGATTTTCCACCATTCCTGGAATTACTATTTTTTAGGTAAGGTGATCATTCCATGCATTATTACAGGGTGCGACAGAGCTCTCAGCCATTGTATAAAATGTTGAGTCACCACCACCATTACACTGCGCTCTTTAGCCGACTAGACTCTCCTGCAACCAACCATCACCATTGCGAGGACACTTATGTAGACGATATTGATAAACGCCTTCAGACAGCTGTTTCGCTAATACATAGCTCATCAGTGAAGGTAGATGTTGAATGATTAAAAATATAGATGAAACTGGTATTATATAGGGTGTTTCCAACTGTCATAGCTGAGGTGATAAGGCTGGAAAAGGAAAGTGTGAAGTACTGCAAAACTACTACACAGACTCTCACTAGCTACATAGTACTCTGATCCTGGCACGTTATTTCTGCTTTGAATAGTGATTGATTTTCCGCGCCGAATTTCCGACGCTGCATGCATGTCCAATGCGCGTCAACAGTATTTCACACTTTCTTTTTCCCAAGTTTGACTTGCGATGTAAAATTAAGGCAATACAATACACAAATGTCGGTTCAGCTAGTTTTATTGATTGCGGTTATCAAATTATTGTCTCCTCGCCGTGTGTTTAAATAATATTTTAAATCGAGATACACCCAGCCTCAGATAGATGTTCTGAATCTACACAAATGTCTGTTCAGCTAGTTTTATTGATTGCGGTTATCAAATTATTGTCTCCTCGTCGTGTGTTTAAATGCAATACAATACAACGGTATTCATGATCCAGGACGAGGCCTACTGACCCTGAACGCAGTTCAGACCAGCTTTGCATCACAACTCTTGCAATAGTTCACTCCTAGTACATGTACACTAAATGGGCTCAGTATTGAGGGTCCGGCGCACATTGGAGACTAGATATACGTCCAAAATCAAAATTGTTCTGGGTTCATATAGGAACAATGAATCGTAAAACAGAAAATGGATCGCTCTGAAGTATTGCTCTGCACACTGCAGGTCGTGTTTTTCTCACTTTAATTGTATGTTGACTGACTCACGCCTGCCACCCAGACCACAAGAGACATACTTCAAGCCTTGCACTCGGCTAAGCTGCAAGACAGCACCACTCCCTGCTCAATACACCGTGTTTCTAGGAATTCACCCCTCATCAGTTGAGCTTTACTAGGCCAAGTTGAGCCTGGTGAGCACCACTTATATAGAGCTCAACACTCTCACCAGTAATACAAACTGCAAATGCTGAGCTTGTAGCGAACGTCGTATTGAACAGTACAATGAGCGTATACGCAAATGCTGAGCTTGTAGCGTGACCAACGCGTGAGCAAAACTACCCCCCCCCCCCCCCATCAAAGACCATCACGTCCTCGTGATTAGTAGCGGGTTGGTGGTCGAAACATTTGGCGGTATGCATGGTCGCGCCGGGACAACCTCGACGAAAGAACATAGGGCGTCAACTGGGATATGTATGGCAAATATCGGAAATTATAACGTTTATAGGGTAGACAGAAGAAATGAACTGACAACAAATCATAAGAATAGAAGAACACCGGGGGTCAAACTATCTCACGGGTTCAAAAGGGAAAAATCACCACACTTCCTGTAAAACGCTGGCGCAACCCGCCAGGAAAACAGCAGTTCAGAACCGAACTGATTACACTATTAAGGACGTTTAGCAGTGCGAAAATTCGAACTTTTTGTGGTGGTGATATTTCGCGAAAATCTGTTTCGAAAAGAAAACTTGTGAGGTTTAGCAATGCGAAATGACTTTTTCTCGAAGTTATTTGAATCTTGTAGTACCGTACCGTATATGCAGCTCAGTCTCAAGCAGGGGCTGTAAAATTACTACTCTCTGTAGTCAAATGCGTACGGAGAAAAGAGATAGTTACTTTCGCAAATCACTGCAACTTCGCGTCCAAGTTTTCGAGCCTTTTTTTCGAGCTTTTTTTCTGTACTCATTCCCAGACTCGAATTTTCTTTCGAACTTTCGCATTGCTAAACGTCCCTATTATTACTAAATCTGTGCACTATTATTATAATATTAACATCGTCCCAGATTAATTAGACAAACCGGGGTTCACCATGATCAGACGCCTACGAAACTATACTGAATTCACACGCTCGCGTAAAGGGAGACTGAAGAGGACAGAAAGACTGAAGGAAGACAGGAAAGAAAATGCCAAATCTGGAAATAGCTCACACTGGCAATGTACATGGAGCTCCATCCTTTGATGAGACGCTAGCGCTATCTGTTATGGAGCCCAATCCCTAGAGAAACACACGCTGGCTGCCATCATGACTGGCTAGTTGTGGCAGGCGGTTGGAGCAGCGGAGCTGGGGCAGCAGCGGGTGACGGCGGGTGCTCCTTCAGATACACTAAACTTGAGCCCTCAGCGAAACGTCGATGAAAACTAAAACTAAAATTGACGGCTGTCACAAATGTGTAGTGGCCATGACGTCAGAACACATGCAACTAGAACAAAACTTTACCGCTGCCGCCAATTCTGTAGAACCATTGCTACCAATGTAAAAACAGGTAGGGTCGAATCTGACAAAGTTGACTTTAACCACCGCTGCCACCAATTATGTAGCGGGCCTGGAGGCAAAACAACCTAACAACTCGAAACTAACTTTATTAACAATTCCCTCTCTCTCTAGAACGGCAAAACTGCCTCTAGCAGTAAAACTCTGAACTCATTGTGAAAGATAAAATAAACGCAATTTATGGAAAATAATCACAAACAACAACGTACTGTCATGGGACCGTAGTACGGTAGAAAAACATCGTATTGAACAGTACGCTGAGCGCATACGCAAATGCTGAGCTTGTAGCGAACGTCGTATTGAACAGTACGCTGGGCGTATACGGAAATGCTGAGCTTGTAGCGTGACCAACGCGTGACCAACGCCACACATTTTCAATGACTTCGTGGAAATCGCTGAAGTGAACAGCATGATCCTGTTCAACCTGTACAGGAAGACGCATCCGGAAATCCAGCGCCCAGCGTCATATGACCACGAAGAGTTCCGGTACGCCTGATTCGGCGACGGGGCGGCATCGAGGAGAACGCACCAGTTCCAGTGTACAGGAACACTGGCAAAGCTGCAGAGGTGCCTGTGGGCTCTAATCTTCCCATCCCTACCCCTGGAGCCAGAAGGAACTGCTTCCTCTGCTACCAACGTGAGAAGGTGGAGAGGAAGTGCCAGGTCAAGTGGGCCACCTGCGGCCGCAATTTGAACATTGAAGGCCCCAACTGCTTTTACGATTTCCATGCTGGTTGAGGTATGCTTTTGGGCTGGCCGTGTTGCATTGTTTACAGTGCACTTGTAGATGTGTTTGCCATGTTCTATATGCATATATACTGGTCTACACACCCCAATTACTTGGCATCTACCCGAATTTTGCCAGATCGGCAATGAGCCAAAATTTCAAGTGCCGGAAATTGTCATTTCGGTTCATCTTTTGGACCTGAAAGTTATTGCTTCAGGTTCCTGAGAGTTTTTACTTTCAGAATCATCCCATGTTGCGCATAATAAAAGTGAAAAATAAAAAAAGTTATGGCATGAACAATGATGGTCGGTTTTTGATGTACAAATACCTAAAACGGTAAAGGGTTAAACTTTGACGACAAGTATGTCGATATTTCCTTGTACATCACGCACGTTTGTGTCTTTTTAGGACTTTTTTGATATTTTCTGTGTGACCTATTCTGCACTACCATGCGTATAAGCACCTCATTCACTTGCAAACAGGCAAACAGGCTGATAATGATAATGAAAATATTCTTTGGTTGAGGGACTAGAAAAGGGAAAAGTCTAAAGGAAAATCTACTGCCACTGCCGGAAATAATAATAATTTAGAACAGGTGGAATCCTGAAATTTAGATTATGGCGCAATTAGAACATACTGCTCAATAAGAAGTTTCACCCGCGACCGGTTTCTGTCACTACGATTTCCAAATATCAATTTCTGATGATTCCAACCTCGAACTGGGTAGGTCCGGTCAATTAGAAGCCCCACCAAATCCACTTACATAGAAAATGAGTGGGATTTGTGCTGATAATTCTAAGTTAGCAAAGAATATTTAGATGTTCACTTTATTTTCTGCAAATCAGTTTCGTTTCCATGCGCAGGCAGTTTAGTGTCCACTAAACTTGCCTCTTAGGTGCATAGTGCAAGTATGTGTGTCAATGCCGGCATTTTTGACATATATAATGACAATAAGAATATCCGGATAATTGGAAATTTTCCATAGCTTTTTTGGGTTCGAATTATCAGGATTCTACCTGTATTACTAATAATTTCAAAGGATCAGTCGGGGAATTGAACTGCCTAAACATCTTTTACGAAATAGTGGTTGCGACTTTGGTGATAATTTTTTTATACCTTTTATCTTGTACCCAGCGCGGGCTTGCGACTAGCTGGTTTGGAGGTGTCAGTGTTGTCACTGTAAGTCTGTATCCCTGGTGATGTTTGTGCCTGGAGAGCTCCATTGAAGTGGTACTCTTGAGGCACAATATTCATCAGCCTACTAAAGCTCAGTTGATGAGGAGTGAACTCCCTGAAACACTCTGGATTGACCGGGGAGTGGTGCTTTCTTCCGGTTTGCCGTGTGCTCTGGATGGCAGCCGTAAGTCGTCAGTCAAGTGTCAAGTCAATTCGACGGAATAGCGCGATCTCCAGTGTGGGAGTAAACCCATTCCCAAAAACCTTTTAGGCAGAGAAAAAAACAGTTTACATCCTCGACGGACCCTTCTAAATTTTTATTTTCTCCCAATCCTTTTAACACTTTCTTTCACTGCTCTGTGTACTAAAACGACACCACTGAACCTTTCTGTGTTCTAGAGATTTGGATGGGAATCAGCTCACTCAGCTACCAGAGGGATTGTTTCGAACAACTAAAGAATTAGACCAGTTGTGAGTCTGGCCTGTCACCATTATTATGATTGATTTGAACATTATGACTTCTACTAATGAGAGTCCTTTGGCTCAGTAGAGTGCTCAATATTCGTTCCGAACGGTTCGAATAGAGCTATCTTACACACGTCACACAGAGCACCATGCATTTCTATCTTACACACGTCACACAGAGCACCATGCATTGCTATCTTACACACGTCACACAGCACCATGCATCATAGGCAATCATTAGACAACTAATACTGGATGAACAGCCAAGATCCAATTATATGCAGTGGTGTTACGGAGGCAGCGATTTGTGTAAGCAAGAGTGAGGAATTTCGTACATGGATTCAGCATGCCTAGCAAGAATGATTTAGGTGACACCTTTGTATTTGCCAAGCAGGAACTTCGCAGCATGGCGACACTTCCACACAATATCCTTGCACTTGTTGCGTGAGATTCTGCGGGCTGGTGGAAGGATGTGGTGCTATGCAGAGGTTGCAGCGCTGTGCGACGTTGCAGTAGGCATAAGCACGCTCCTTGACAGGCCAGGAAATCTCGTAAGTTCTATCCTGGGGCTTAAGAAAGCATGTCTGAGAATAACAAAGTATGTGTGCAAGTGGATCTCTCTGATTTCGCTCAAAATTTGCAGGTAGGTTCCCTTGGGGGTGTGGATCGATTGTGCAAAGCCCTTGAAAAGGTTTCTGGAGGGAACCTTGAAATTTGCACACCCCTCAAAAATGGCCGAAATATCACATTATTTATGGGTCTAGCTTCTCCTTGCGCCTTCAATAATATTTTGTGCGACTGTTGATGCAAAAGTGACTGAAGGCCTGAGCGCAGTTTTTGAATCTTATTGCAAGATGCACGGTGAAACCACGTGCCTTGTGACGCAAGAATGCCAAGTCGCGTGGCCCACGGCTCACGAGATTTCAGAGTCACCTTTGTCAAGTCCGCTTGTTACTCGCCTTGAACGCCCGTTGGTCTGGAAGTGATCACACTTGTGTTGTTACTGCGCTCAAGAACACGCTGACCGTGTTGTTGGCCTAAGAACCGGGACGTCCCCTGACCATGTAGGTCGAAGACCAGTGAAATGATGATGAAATCACATTCTTGATGACCTAAGAAATCTCTCATGCAGTTCACGCGACAAGTGCGTGCAGCCAGTGCTGCTCGCGTGCCAGTCAACACAAAGGGACTGAGCTAGCGGCTTTTGTCGAGCATCAACATGAAAACAAGGGACTTTTACTATTGGACTATGTTCGGGATTTCAGAAGATAAGTGTGAAAGACGAATAACTCTCCATGCTGTACGGGGCATACTTCAACGGCTTGCTGCCATTGCAACTCTCCTAGGACAGCTTGTGGGGGTTCTCAGCAGTTCAAGCAGGAAATGAAGCTCATCTTACCTCTGCCATCATGGTCTGTTCCGAGTAGCAGTCCAGGCATATTCGCGATCGATGGCCGTGTATCGTGATGCAGGAAGTGACATCCTACGTCACAAAGCACGCGATCTCACCGTGCATCTTGCAATAAAATTCACAAACTGCGCTCAGGCCTTCAGTCACTTTTGCATCGTCAGTCGCACAAAAAATTATTGGTGGCGCAAGGAGAAGCTTGTCGTTTGGAGTGACAAGTGATCACCGCTGCTAATCCTTGTCAGAGTCAACAATACACTTTGTTCTGCAGCCTTCGGAGTAGTGTTGGAGTAGAAATTTCTGAGGAGACGTCGCGGAGGGGCGAGCTTTCCTGCGCAGGTATGACTTTGGCCGTATTTCAGCATGGTCGAGTGGAAAATACAAAAAAAGTTTATTTCAAGAAAATCCCAAATGAAAGAAAGGGGACATGTCCTCAGCGCTAGAAGAGGTGTTCTACTATCTGCCGGTGTCTAGTTCTGGCCAATTGAGGACGTAGCTGGCTATTTTGCCAGCGCTTGTAAATTGGCTATTTTCAAGACGATCAATTGTGGCGTCAGAGGGTGATGGACCTCGTCTTCTGGGATGCGGGCGTGGCTAAGCGGTACTGCTCCAGGAACTCTTCCAAGGTGAGGCAATGTTGCCTTGATGGAGTTTTGTTCATAGCGTGGCGTGACTCGTTTCTAGACCCATAAATAATGTGATATTTCGGCCATTTTTGAGGGGTATTCAAATTTCAAGGTTCCCTTCAGAAACCTTTTCAAGGGCTTTGCACAATCGATCCACACCCCAAAGGGAACCTACCTGCACATTTTGAGCGAAATCAGAGAGATCCACTTGCACACATACTTTGGTATTCTCAGACATGCTCTCCTAAGTAGGGATCTCAGCGCGTGAACTGCGCAGCCAGTCTGCGCAGGTGAGATTTTCGATCCCAAACGCGTCCAGTGCAGAAATCGTGGAAAAGAACATTTTTTTCGAAATAAATCAAGTTGAAGAAGACAGTAGAAATGGCTGAATAATGCGTCCAGGAAAGCACGTTCTACGGCCATCTCCAAGCTACCTATCTCCCAGACACTCTCTCAGAGGGACTATGGAGGGTCAAAGAGCACAATCTTTCACTCTTGGACGCAGCGTGAACACCTCTTCTACTGAGCGCGATGTCTTCTCTCCGAGTGATAATGGCGGTGATGTTCGCGATGGCTGATGCACTGAAAATCGAAGTTAGGACAATATCACCTTCAAACTTGGCACAAACAAGACTGTACCATCGTACGTGAAATCACGGTACGGGAAGAGCAATTTCCGCGTGTACCATGCTGAACAAACACCCACATGCAGGCTATGCAACAAGCCAGGGCACATCGCCAAGGACTGCCCGGAAAAGACTCAAATAAGCAAATCAACCACCAAGACTTCGGCCAACAACAGAGCTGTAGACTCATCCTCCGAACATAAAACCAAAAACAACACCAGCCTTCTCTCCACCGAGTCTGAGCGAGCGGAGGTACTTCTTTCAGACATAGTTGCCAACCGACAAGGTAACCAACAAGGCAAGGAATCTGATAGCGAATCAGACGATGACCATCAGTCAAGCTCCTCCGAGCCAGAAGACTTTGGTGCTACGCCAAACAACTCAGATCATGAACCGCTGGGGCAAGCAGTAGCATCAAACCAGACCACAAATGTCCACCATCAACACCGACCACCGGCTCAAGACTGCCATTTAGATTCATGCGAAGGCGAAGTCAGCTTGGGCAACTCCAAGCGTTTGCGCCCGAGTGTCACCCCCAACAGACCTGAGGATAATGGCATGAGATCACGGAATCGCAAGAAGAGAAAGCAGCCCCCAGGAAGTGCATCACGGTGCTAGCGGCCTCTCCATCGAATCGAAGAAAAAGAACAAGCCAACAGGAATCGACTTGCAATGCCAGTAGTAAGTCACTACACTACTTTGCTAGTCCTTTCATTTCTTTCAATACTCATGCTTAACCCTTTGTGTACGGACTGTACAACTTTCGATCCCCTGGGCTGTCCATTGAAACAATCGCTGAAGCGCGCCGATGTGTGGTTCCAGAGTTACGAAGCTCGAAAGTCGAATCGCGGCAAATGACGCTCAATAGCCGCTCGCGCAAATTTGAATGAGGGATTTCCCCATCATTCTGGGCATGTAGTGACGTAGAAACACGTTCAAAATGGTAAACGGACTCATGGCAGTTTGTGAAATTTTTCTGAAGTAACAGCTAGTTGTTACGAGCAAGGAGAGCGAAATGGCTGATGCAAGACGACTTCTGTCGGAATATTGGCATTGCAGCTAAGACGCTGGGCGGTTGCGCTGGCGTTTTGACCTTCGTGGTGGCAAGCGTGGGCTCAATGTGTTCCTCTTGCGACGAGCTTTCCAGGAAGCCCAGGATTGAAAAAATCGTCAAAAGGAGACTAAAGTTATGACCCGGATAATTATAGAATTTGAGGTGAGTCGAGATCAAATTCAGTCTGTGTACAATTTTTCAGTACATAAAGGGTTAATCCTCACGCACAATCTTTTCTCCCCCACAATGCTATGCAATCAGATCATATTTCATACGATCGCTCTTTCTGCGGGACAAGCAAGTTCAATTTCCTGAGCTTCAACGCTCGCAGCTTGTTCAACAAAATGGACGAGATTGCGCAGGTAGCCATAGAAAAGAGACCCAGTCTTATCGCCATATGTGAAACTTGGGCAAACCCCCTAGAGCCAGACTCTCTATACGAACTCCCCGACTACTTCCTTTATAGGCATCATCGGCAGCACTGTAGAGGCGGAGGAGTCGCCGTGTATGTTCACTCATCCATCCCACACAAACACAAAACAAACATCACGATGAGCAACTTCGAATCACTCTGGCTCGAACTTGACCTACCGAATGCATCACTTACAGTCGGATGCTCCTACCGTCCTCCAAACACAGATCTGTACACATTCTGCCAACAACTGGAGCCCTGTCTAGGTCTCTGCAACATGAACTCTCCGTTTCTATTGGTAGGAGATATGAACGCAAAGCACACCTCATGGCTTTCCACTGATATCACTGATAGAGCTGGCGACCTGCTGAGCTACCTACTAGACACTGCAGGATTTAACCAGCACGTGTCTTTTCCGACCTGTATTTCCAGAGGGAACTTGAAGTCCTGCCTCGACGTTGTCATCTCCAACGTACCAGAAGAAGACCTATCTGTCACATCGTATCCCCCTGTCGGAGCGTCAGATCATGTACTCGTCGGAGGAAATGTGTCCCTTGCATGCCCACCACAAGCACCAACACCTCAGCAAAACGTCGAAGCTTGGCGCTGGAACTGGGACCCTGATCGCGTCGTCGCACTGAAAGAAGCCCTGAGCTCAATGCAGCTTTTGCCACCAGCTGAGGAAATCCCGCAGTTATCAATGACAGACCTCTGGTCGCATTGGCATGACTCGCTTATCAACACAGCACACTTGTACTGTACTAACTTTGCACCACGACGTACACACCAGACATGCCCAGGTCGGCGACCATGGATGACTCAACCGCTTCTTTGCAGCATTAAACTCAAGCATCAGCTCTACCGTCAGTATCTCAGAACT